CCAACATGAACTGCACCATAGCTTTTGATGTGGCAGCCAAGACGCTCAAATCTTTACAATGCAAATGAGCGGAGTAGCTAAGCATCAGGGATGCATCTTCAGCATTTGGATTGCGACTAGCTAGTTCTTGATTTGCGACTCTTCTTATTCTTTTTATTCTTTGTATCTGTCTGGCGATTGGATTTGTTATAGAGTTATAATGGTATTTGTTTTCTTTACCACTCCCCTTTTCTTATTTTCTTCTTATTTTTTCACTGAATATACAATGGTAATATTCCTTCTGTGAGTGGATTCCGTTATTATGTATTATTTACTGATGACTTTTATTTTTTTTTAGTTGACCTATTTTTATGTAGTTAATCCTATTTTTTATGTAGTCAACTCTATTTTTTAATTAATAAAACTGACAGAGTTTGACATTGGACTTGATTTGTTAACTAATGCAAGTTAACTAATGCAAATACAGTGGCTAAATTGGGAAAATTGAATCACGGTGACCAAATTTGATTTTGAGCGAAACCTCAGTGACCAAAAATATAATTAACCCTATTTAAAATAATAAGGTTAATTTTCTTTATGGAGCAAATAAAAAGGTTTTCCTGCTTGTTAAACGCAGCGTTCCTTTTTTGAAGAGGACCATGGACTGCATTAAAACTAAAGCATAGATAATATCAAAACCAACTGTTAAAAAACAATTGGACTTTATGAAAGTGGAAATGATGATGTTGTAGATGTCCCTCCTTCCTCGCGTGGTCTTCTTCTTGTTGTGCGAAATATTCCAAGACCTTGTCGTTGATGGACTACGCAATTATCACACACCAACCACGCAAAGATAAAACACACACAAAACCACAAAGTACACACACACACACACACAAAGAACACAAGAATTTATAGAAGTTCAGCATTGTGCCTACGTCCTTTTGGTGATCTCCAAGAAATTCACTAGTATATATGAAAGAACCCCTTTGGTTACAATGAAGAACCCCCTTTGATCTCTAACAAACCCTAGCTCTTTTTTCTCTCACCCTTGGCTCAAACCCAATTTGATGCCTTAGCTTTCTCACGTTAGAATAACCTAGCACTAAAGTACCTATTTATATGTCACATGGCTTTAGTACAATTATACAAGGAAAATGAAACTTAAAGGACTCCAAAACTAGGAGAAAATATGTCCACATTTGCCGGGTACACACCCTGGATTCGGGCCTCCTGCTCAAGCACCACTTGCGCCGCTCAAACACCTGTGTTTGCTCGAGTCTGAGTTCCGCCACTTGAGTAGGTGCTCAAGTGCTTGGGTCTGTGTGAGATGTATCGCTTTACCGCTCGAGCTCCTGTAGTTTCTGCATGAGCAGCAGAATCGAGTCAAAACTACCGCAACTCTTTTGACTGTCTGTTTCCTTCACTCCTTCTGCTTCTTTAAATGAAACAACATTAACAATCTCCATCTTGGCGAGCCTTAAACACCTTGTGAAAATTATTTACCCGTAGAACTTCTTCAAACCTCTTGGAAACTGTTTTAGTAATTCCCAAGAGCTCCACCTCAATCTTTAGCATGTAACAAGATTGAGCAAGCTCAAATAATGTCTGAACTTCTTAGTGTGACTGGCTTGGTCAAGCAATCCAAAGCGTTCTCATCCGTATGAACCGTCTCTATTGCAATGTCCCCATCATTCACCGAATCCCTTATCCGGTGGTACCATACATCAATATGCTTAGACATTTCGCGAAACACTTGATTCTTGACTAAGCATATAGCACTTTGACTGTTACTTTGTATCACCACCAAGTCTTAGGCTATCCTGAATTCTTTAGTCAATCTTGTTAGCCATAATGCTTTATTAGAAGCCTTAGTTGTGTGTGTATATATATATATATATACAGTCCCCTTCAATTGAGGGATCCCTCAAATAGTGTTATTTAAGGGATGGGGCGCTCAGTCGTTGGATCTCTTTTAATGAGATCCTGTGGCTATGGTTGTTTTAAATGTTTTAACCCATTTTAACACTCCTGACCTGAAGAAGAAAAAAAACACGCAATGGCTGAAGAAACCTAAGGCACGCACGAAGAAGAGGAAGAGCCCACCCTTCCAAGACGAAGGAAGAGCTGCCATTGTGAGTTGAGCTTGCGAGAATTCTATGCCAATCAGGTAGGCGTATCCATAGTGGCATTTATGTTTCGTTCTAAATCTGGGTTGTGATTTTCAAATTGGGGTTTTGTGATGGGTTTTTAATTTTGAAAATTTCTGGGCAAGGTTGAGATTACACCCAATTTAGTGATGAGCCTAACTCTAACAATCCAACTACTCCAAACAAGGATAAAAACATTCTACAAGGATTAGACATACAGAGCTACACAATTCAAGTGCAGATATAATTGTAGGTCAGGTGTATGAGACTGAGGAGGATTTAAAAACAAAGTTTGGTATCAATGCTTTGAAGAAAATTTTTGAGTTCAAAGTGAAGAGATCTAATAAAGAAAGATTTGAAGTTGGTTGTGTGGATGACAGATGCATGTGGAAATTGTGTGCATCAAAGGTATGAAAATCCTCATATTTCATGGTTAGAAAATATGTTACCAAACACACTTGCTCATTGGATGTTATTCATCGCCATCATCGACAGGCAAATAGTTATCTTATTGGCCAGTGCATTAAGTCTAAGTACGAGGGTGTATCACGAGTACATAGACCCCATGACATCATGGAGGATATACGGAAGGACATGGGTGTGAGTATAAGTTATGTGAAGGCTTGGAGAGCTAGGAACATGCATTGGAGTTGGTTAGGGGATCAGCAGAGGAATCTTACATGAGACTCCCATCATATTGTGCTATGCTAGAAGCCAAAAATCCTGGTACGATTACGCATATTGAAACTGACAGTAATAATCATTTTATGTATTTTTTTTTTATGTCACTTGGACCTTGCATCAGAGGATTTCACAATGTTATCAGGCAAGTAATAGCACTTGATGGAACATTTTTAAAAGGTAAATATCTTGGAACGTTGTTTGTTGCCACATGCAAGGACGGGAATAATCAAATATACCCTCTAGCATTCGGAGTTGGAGATTCAGAGAATGATGCATCATGGAATTGGTTTTTCACAAAATTATGGGGAGCTATTGGGCATATTGATGATTTATTTTTCATTTCTGATAGACATTTAAGCATTCGGAAGGCTATCTCCACTATATTTCCTAATGCTCATCATGGGGCATGCATATTCCATATAAGCCAAAATCTTAAGAACCACTTTAAGCATGAAAGAGCGCATTCGCTTTAGTTTAGAGCTGCTAAGGCATATCGTATTCTCGAATTTGATCGTCATATGGTGCAAATATATAATGTTGACCCTCATTTGGGTAATTATCTTCATGCAGCTGGATATGAAAAGTGGGCTCATGCGTACTTTAATGGGAAGCGGTACAACCTAATGACAACAAATATTGCTGAATGTCTCAATCCAATCATCAGAGATGCTCGTAAGTTGCCTATCACCAATTTTATGGAGTATTTAAGAATGAATATACTTCAAAATTGGTTTCATAAGCGTCAAACTGAGGCAACCAAAATGGATTCACATTTGACGGAATGGGCTGACAAGTTGGTGCGAGAAAATAACCAAAAAGGATTATCATTGCAGCTATTTTGAATTCATTATCTTCTTTTTTTTCGTTGTTGCAAGTATTTAATTTTAAAGAAATGAACTTACTGGGAACTTGTCCTTGGTATCCTTGGCTACAAACAAGGCTACCAAATGAGAAAGAAAAGTTAGTAATATTAATGGGCATATCATTCAATTTTAAATTTTTTTTATTGAATTCGTTTGTTCTTTTGTTTAAGGAACAAATTTGTTGAAAAGATTTCCAATAAAATGGTTGGGGAGTATTTATAATGTGTTTCATTTTTCTTGAATATACAAGTTTCTCCTATTGAGGCATACTCATTTTATGTATATGATGGAAATTGTGTTGAAGTTGTAAATTTAGAGTGGAAGTGTTGCACATGTTGAGAATTTGATCTTGACCAACTACCATGTGCACATGCTTGTGCTGCATGTAGGCATCGACAAATTTCGTGCTACCCAATGTGTTCAAAATATTATACTACAAACTCATTGGTAATTGCGTATGCATAACCTATATGGCCAGTTGGGGATCAAACAGATTGGGTGGTGCTTGATGATATACGAGATAGAATTGTGCTACCACCAATTACACGAAGAAGGCACGACAGGCGTAAGGAAAAGAGAATCCCATCACGAGGAGAAGAACCATCAACACGTAAGTGTTCACGATGTGGTTCAACTGGCCATTATCGACAAACTTGCAAGAATCCGATTGCACTTCATCCTACCTCATAGACAAAGTGGTGCTATATTTTTCTTTTTAACTTTATGAATTGTAATGAATGAATAGTTAAGTTTTTTTTTAATTATTATTATATATATTTTTTTATTTTGTAATGTAGATCGTTGTATTGAATTTTTTTGTTCTACAAACTACATCTAAATGTGTGACAATTTTTGAAGAATTAAAGTTATGTGAAATATATATATATATATATATATTGAGTGAGAGGAGGAAATTATACTTGTGCACTGATTCAATCATTTTCTGAATTTTTGGTTCTAAATAGTTTTTTGTTGTTGCCAAATACATACATTTCATTTGGAGACAAATGGGAGAGAAGAAGATGAGAAGAAAAAGAAGAAAAGAGATATGCAGACGGGAGAAGAAGAAAAGAGAGAGAGAGATGGAGAGAAGAAGAAAGAAAAAAAGAAAGTGATGCTAGAAACAAACGGAAGAA